TAGTTTTTCCTTAATTACCTTCAGAATTACTTTTCATTTTTAACGACTTTAATCATCAGAAAGAGGAAAATAGGTGGTCTCTTCAAATCATACTGTACATATTAAAATATAGATTTCTTAGTAGAGATGTTGAGCTCTTCATACAAGTGCCATTTGCCTAGATAGAGTTAGATAGAAAGAGAAACAGCGCTTAGAGAAAATGATCAAATTCTGGCAAGAACTGTTTGGATAAACTTCGCATATATTACAAAAATTCTTGCTTTCTTCACATCTTTAATTTGGCTGCATCAGTTAACATCAGTAGTACTCTTCATAAACCTAAGGCAACTGTTTGTTTGAAGGGAATACGGGGTGTTTCACTTAAGGTTTTTTAAAACAATGGAGTGAAAGCGAAGTCATGAGAAGAAAATCGTACACATGGATTACTATCTAGTTTTCAGAACCTACTCGATCCTCAGAAACGACTTGTTCGGCACAGGCTTTTCCGTGAGCATTGTGTTTGCGTGTATGGAAATTACATCAAGGACTTGTCAATCCTTGGAAGGGACCTTTCACGAACTGTTATTATCGACAACGCACCACAATCGTTTGCATACCAGATTGACAATGGAATACCAATTGAAAGCTGGTTTCATGAAAAAGATGATACGGAGCTCTTGAAGTTGCTACCATTTTTGGAAAGTCTTCCCAAAGAGGTGAGTTTATCAATTGTTAACTATTATCTTTTGAGAACATTCTCTTTTGAGTAGTAGGCTTAATTATGCAAGTTTTTCAGTAAATGAAAAATTCATTCAGAAACGAGATGTTCGCGAAATTTTGCGAGAAAGGTATCGTATCAGGGAAATGCTGCCACCTCCATCATGCCCAACTGTCCCACCCGCAGAACCATTATGCTCCGGATGATGACAGCCGAAACTTTAGAAAAAGCATAAAAATCACTAACATCAATCATCGCATCCAAAAAGTGCACCGCCTCCTCTGTGTGCCATGAAAACTAAACTTGTTTTTATGAAAGAAGTAACTAGATACTAAACTGGTACATTGATTCCAGTGCAAGTATAGCAATTAGTTCCCTCGTTAGCGAAAAAGTGCTTTTCATACTGCA